CCGTCTAGGATCAATAAAAGAGTTACTGTTCTCCATTAAATTGTAAAACTCAGAGAAATTTGACATAATTGCACGCTAGGGGCCACTTTCCCGACAAAAGTGCAAATAACATTTAACCAGAACCAGGACAAAAAAAAAAAAAAGTTAAAAAGTGAGGGAAAAAAAAGAAGGAAAAAAAAAAAGAGGGAGAGAGAGAAAGAAAGGAAAAGAAGCAAAGAAGAAGTGTGTCTCACTTCCCCAGCAAGGCTCAAGGCACCGGAGATGGGTTGTTCCCCCGGGCGGCAGCAGCAAGTGGGGCTGCCTGGTTTGGGGCTGGTCCTCTGCTTTGCTCCAGGATGGAGGCTCTGCCCATGCCCGGCCACTCTGGCCTCATAACCAGGGATGTTTCCCGGGCTCTGCTTTGCAGTGTGGCCCCACAGTGGCAGCTGCAGTGAATTAGGGGCAAAATGTTGCATTTTTCTGCTTACCTCCAGCCAGGATATGTGTGACCGCAGGCAGGTGCGTGGGGAGGTCTAGCAGTTCCCATTGGGAATATTCCCACCCTCAGGGGCACCTGGGCTGCCAGGATGGGCAATTCAGCAACTGGAAGAAGGATGAGGAGAAAGGAGGAAAAAAATTAAAAAGGTGACTTTCCCTGTGGGTAGGTGAGGGGAGCAGGGCCACTCCCGCCGGGATGGCTCCCAGCAGGATGCAGGCTGCTCCTGGCTGCCAGGCTCTGGGGAGCATCCGGCCCCAGGGGATGCTCCAGAGCTGTCCTCTGTCCTGAGAGTGGCTCCTCGAACCCCTGCCAGGACCGAACCAGAGAAATGTGCAGAAACGTGGCTAAAACACCCAGGTCAGCTAAGGCTTTGCTGTCTGCCACCTTTCCAAGCACTTGTGGGGCTTCCGAGGTTTATTCAAATGTGAAACCTTTTTGGCAATGCTTGTCAGGGTCTGTGTGCAGCCAGGGCAGGTGCAGAGAAGCTGTAAGGAGGAATACGTGAATCAATATTCCCCAGGCTTCAAGAACAAGATGCTGATCCACTTCTGCTTTAGCTCTTCCCCAAGCCAACAGTCCTCACCCTCATGCCATGCATCCCTGGGGCCGAGCTGTGCAACGCTGCCCTCAGAATTACTTGTTTTCCTGCTGTGATGCCAACTCAGCCCTTTCTCACTCTACCAACAGCGGCCTTGCAAAGCCCCCAGCCCTTCTGACCTGATTTCCCTCAGTTTTAGGGGTGCTCAGAGGTGCCCACCCATGTGGGGATGAGGATGGGAGGCAGGTTTGTGTTGCAGGAGGCTTAACTCTGGTGTGGCCAGAAACCCATAGGCGTTGGGATACTGGAAGAGACCTTGAGCTCCTCTCCTGCCCCAGCCCCTCGGCAGGACCAGCTCTACCTATGCAGACATTTCTTAAAAAGAGACATGAAACACGTTTTACAAACATGGTCATAATTACAACAACATCGGCTCATGATTTAGAGCGAAGGTGAACTGCAGGTCCTTCTCCAAGCACGGCCACGAGTGCCTTTTTGTCCTCAACCAATTCTGATCGAAGCCAGCTGAGGGCACGAAGTGCAAACTTTTATCTCTGCTGACATGACATATTATTAAAAAGTATTTCAAGTAATCTTTTATTTCCTTTGCATTGCAACACATTTCAAGAACTTGGACAGGGATCAACCAAGCCTTTTTAATTTCCTACAATGAAAAATAAAACAAAAATAAAGCACGACTGAGATGATATAATCAGGAAGATTTTGAGAGTTTAGGTCAAATTAATATGTCAGAGAAGTGTTTTCTGGGGACTTAGAGAACTTTAATCTGTCAGGGACTGACTCAGGCTGTTCCTGAGCTTTGTAATCTTATTGTCTTTAACAAATTATTTGATGGTATGTAATATATTACCGTCATCAGAAAACAGAGCAACTAATCATTTGGCATAAAGTTCAGATTAACTAACTTAATTTTAAGGCAAATGTTATACAATACGCTCTGAAATGTTTGCTTAACTTGAAAATGATCTTTTAATACTGTCCATTAATCCATTAAAGCACCCAGGTATATTCCCAGGCCAGACCTTGCTGAGCCGCTCACAGCCAGACTTTGAGAGACTGAACTTTGTGCAAGCTCCATGTGCTTTTGCCAAGATTTACTTTGCATTTACCAAAACAAAACAAAACAAGCCCCCAAACCAAACAAAAAGTGACTTGTGGCTTAGGGTGAGTATTTTGAAGTATAGCGATCACTTGCAATCAATTAGGTATCTAACACTTTTATCATTTATATTGCCCTCTGATGTGTCATAGATTTTTATAAAGCTGCAGCAAACAATTTTAGACAAAGGTATTTTCAGTTCCAGTGGTCAAATTGGGCACGTTGCTTGCTCCCTGCTTTCAGAATCATTAGCAAGAAAATCTTGTTGGCGTCTTGGAAAAGGAGTCTCATCATTTTCCTCTGTACATTCACATGATCCTGATAGGAAAGAAGTTTTCAGGCCATAACAGAGTTACGCAATGGAAGAACTCTAAAAGGAGTTTTTGAATACAAAAATACTGAAATATTTCGACAATAAACCCCTTTGGAAATGGAAGTTTTAACCAGTTCACCCTTTAGATGGGTTAGGCATAGCAAGCAGCCCTTTGGAAAGCCCTTGCTTTGCTCAGTTCTCGCTGGGATCCTCACAGTCAATGCTGGGATGGGCCAACGCGTGTTTCCCTTGGCAGGTTCCTGCTTTAACCCACCCAAAACAGGGCTTCAGGGTCTGCCCTCCCCACATGCCCCGGCACCGTCATCCCCTGCACTGCTGGGCTGAAATCCCTCCTCTGCATTTTGTGGACAACCAAAGCAACTGGAATTGGAAAACACCACAGTCCTGTTTTTCCAAACATGAGTACCACTTCATTGGCATCATTAGCTAATTGCCTTTTAGCAGATTAACAAACTTTTCTTCTTCTTCTTTTTTTTTTAATCAATCTTTTAAAAAGAAACTCCCGGAGACTAAGTAAATCTTGGCAGAAATCGCCCATAGTAGCTTATAAGAGTGCTTACGAGATTATTTTCCCTTACGTTCTCAAATGTCAGGTCCCACAGCATAGCTTTAATTTCCCTCTCAGGCTTATTTTGCCTGTAATGAACTTTGAAACCCTTCGGGTGTTATATCTGAGCGAACTGTGACGTTGCACGGTTGAACTGAGCCCTTAGCAGCCCCTGGGCAGCAGTCGGTGGTGACCTCCGTTGCGGACAGCAGGTTGGGACATTCAGTGTCAGGAAGAGTTTTGCTGCTCATTTGGAGGAATTGGGGTGCAACGTGTTCTTCATTAAGTTCTCCATCTTCTTTCCCCCATGGGACATGGTATTGGCATTGGGAGGGTCTCCATCCCTCCCTTGTCCACCACCAAGGTGTCCCCAAGAGCGCAGCAGGTCCTGGGCCAAGCGTGGTGAGGAGGTTCTGGTCCACTCTGCTCATTCCCATGGGTCAAACATCCCAAGAGCCTCCAGGGAACTCGCTCCCCTTGTCCACCTTCTGCGGAGATGCTTCGATGCCATCTGCGCTGCGTTAGCTGGAGCTGTATCGGAATAAATCACAATTACGTCGTTTCATACACAAGCACGAGAGAAAAAAAGGCTGTACAGGGAATAGGATAAAACTCTAAGGAAATGATTCAGGGAATTAAAAACAATAAATACCGGAGTTGGGGAAGGTTAAATCAAATTAGGTGACTCAGATCTTTTGATGAGAGAGACGGGGCCAGCTTGGTGGTTCTCTAGGAAGGTCTAAAGGAGCTTGGTAGCTCATGCTAGCAGGCCAAGGACAAGTCCCCAACATGCTGGCATCAGGATGTCACCACTGCCTGAGCCTGCAATGACAGGCCCTGTGCAGAGCTCGCAGGAGACATCCAACACGGTTGGGTCAAAGCAATGGTATCTTCTGCCACATGTCCCTCTAGGACCTCCTCATGTTTTCTGCAAGAGAAACATTTGCTGGTTCTGTCCTAGGAGGGACATTTTTGAGGTGACATCTCCAGGCTCTGTGGATCCAGGATCGCTTCTCTAATGTGGTCCCCATGGGCAGCAGATGCCACTTGCTTCCATGGGCCTTGTTGCCCATCCC